AAAAAAAAAAAGGTGATGAGGGCCATAAAAATGATTCAGATAATGTGAGGCTGATGTTCACAGGAAGGATCAATTCTTTCCCCTATTGTTTTTGCACTTTAATTGGGGGAGAATTTATGGAGGTAACAGTATTTGAACAAGACTTTGTAATGTTCCTATTTTATCTATGATGGTATCTTAGTTCTTCAGGACTCAGAAATATGTTTTTCCTCCTCATTGGAAGGAAGTTGCTATTCTTCCTTTCCTTTTTCCTTTCCTCTTTCCTTTCCACTTTCCTTTCTGGTTCCTCTTCCCCTTCCCCTTTCTTTTCTTTCCCCCTTTTCTTCCCCCTTTTCTTTGACCTTTCTCCTTTCCCTCTCCCCTTCCTGTTTCCTTTCTTTTCCTTTCCTTCTTTTGTTGCCCTGGGTAAAGCGCTATGATTATAGCTCACAGCAACCTCACACTCTTGGGCTTTTGTGATCTTCTTGCCTCAGCCTCCCCAGTGGTTGGGATTATAGGTGCCTGCCACAATGCCCAGCTAGTTTTTCTATTTTTAGCAGAGATATTCTCGCTTTTGCTCAGGCTGGTCTCAAACTCCTAAGCTCAAGCAATCCAGTCGCTTCGGCCTCTCAGACTGCTAGTATTCTTTGTTTTCTAGTGTAAAATAATTTTTAAAATATGTATAATGTTCTGACTCATTTAGAATTTATGATATTGTAATTTGTTTCCATGTTGATAACTAGATAATCCAACATTTATTGGAAAGTAATGTCCTTCCTTTTTATATAGTTCTGATTTGTTTATATGTAACATTCTTTTTTCCCCCATCCCATATATAACATTCTTAAAATTGAGCCTCTCTAAAAATTTTCTTGTAGATTATATTAAAAGGTTAGTGTATGTCTACTATCTGGAGTCTTTATTAAAAAATATTTTGTACTTATTTATCCAGGTGAATTCTACTAGCTCTTTGTTATGAAAACGAGTGAATTGGCTCAGCACCTGTAGCTCAGCGGCTAGGCTGCCAGCCACATATACCAGAGCTGGTGGGTTCGAATTCAGCCAGGGCCTGCCAAACAACAATGAACTACAACCAAAAAATAGCTGGGCGTTGTAGTCCCTGCTACTTGGGAGGCTGAGGCAAGAGAATCGCTTAAGCTGAAGAGTTTGAGGTTGCTGTGAGCTGTGACACCGTGGCACTCTACCAAGGGCAACATAGTGAGAGTCTGTCTCAAAAAAAAACAAAAACAAAAACCAAAAATTTAGTGAATAATATACTCTTTAATAATACTTTTTCTGTAGCTCCGTGGGTAGGGCAGCACCAGCCACATACACCCAAACTGGCTGGTTTGAACCCAGCCTGGGCCAGCTAAATAACAATGACTACTGCAACAAAAAAATAGCTGGGTGCTGTGGCAGGTGCCTGTAGTCCCAGCCACTAGGGAGGCTGAGGCAAGAGAATTACTTGAGCCCAAGAGTTTGAGGTTGCTATGAGCTGTGACACGATGGCACTCTATCAAGGGCAAATAGTGAGACTGTCTCAAAAAAAAAAAAAATACTCTTTCATTAAATGCTTTTGTTATTGGAAAATGAATCTTCTTTTTCTTTTTGAGACAGAGTCTCACTCCATCATCCTGGGTAGAGTTCCATGGCATCATATCTCAGAGCAACCTCAAACTTTTGGGCTTAAGTGACCTTCTTGCCTCAGCCTCCCAAAGTTCTGGGATTATAGGAATGAACCACTGTCCCCAGCCTAAATATTTTTTAGTGACTGCATTGTGGTTATTACAGTGGCTACCATTTATTAGAATCTAGGCATTTTCTGTGTGTTTACAGTCCTAAATAATTTTTTCTTTTCTTTTTTTTTTTTTTTT